TCCTCTTTTTCTACATTTTCATATTTGTAGACTGCATGGGCTTCACTGTCGGAAAGCTTCAAGGGTTCAATAAGGTACGTCTCCCCTTGAAGCTTGAAATGTCCTCTGTAAAACAATGTGGAAAAGGGTGATCAGAGATGGAGAAGCAACAGAAGAGAATATTGTTAGTTCAGAGATAACCTGCACTGATGATGTTACCTAGTTGGGTAATGAAACTCAGCTCTGAGACCCATTTTTAACTAACCAAGTCAACATACTCTGTGTTTCTGAATCCCTTCTTAACACCCACTGATTTTTTTAATTTTTTTCCTCAGCACTCATATCCCTTTCTCATACTTCTCAAAGATACTGGTATGATCAGAAAGATATAAGAGATTGCACACACTCAATACAACCACGAAATATCTGTACAGTATTCATTTGGAGATACTTTTGCATGGAATACCTTTCTAGCAAGGTATGCAATCTGAAACCTACTTATCTTCTCTACCTGTAACATCACCTCCTGTATGTAAAGGAGACAAGGGCTTGGAAGCTCCTTTACACAGATCTGATTTAGCTCCCTAGTGTCTCTACTGGCTGTCAGCAGCTCTTCTTGGTATTCAGCCAAAGTCTTTCTTAATTCTGCAGAAGTCTTGGATCACACCCAACTCATTTGCATGAAAAACTGATGTCCTTCATTTTAACTGAAAACTCCAAGAGCAGTATATTATTCTTAATAAAATAAATAAAAGATTAGAGATTATCTTACTTCAAACCATTGCATGCACTGATGCTTGCAGTTGAGTCAGCATCATTCTGGATGCGTCCGTGATAATAGCAGTGATCCTGTAGGGAGACAAGAGGACTACGTTGGTTAAAGCTGCTTTGCAGTGTGATTTGATTGCAGAAGTATAGTTCCAATGTATTCCACCACATCAATGAAATATTAAGACAGCAGTTATTCAGAAAATTTTGATTCAGGGGGACAGAAGACCTGCTTAATATTGATTGTTGCAAAATGAACATAGGATAAATGCAAGTCTCCATAAATCAGGTCACACTGCAGGGGGAGTCCCACTGATGGCACAAAGCTAAGAACATTTGGGCAGACAACCAACCAAGCATGATAGTGCTGTCATTTTTTTTGCAGCTGATAGGGCCACGTTCTGGACCAATTTAATATGAAAGATATTATATGGATTTCTGTATAGGAACAAAGTTGTTATCACTTTTGGTATTACAAATAAAAGATTTTGCATGTATCCCTGTAGTCTGGTTCAAAAATGAAAATATAGATCTTATAAACCTGATGTTCTCATAATAAATCTGTTTGTGAAACTCACTCCCCAAATGTTGGCTTTCACCCAGTAGGAAAGAACTGGATGATTGAAATACTGTTGTGGTAATTCAATGAGTAAAACAACCTGGGTTTAACAATCCATACATCCTTATAAGTACATATCAATATAAGATACTTCATAGATATATAGCCCTTCTTTTTTTGAGTAGCCTGGTCTCGTTCTTGTATATTTGTAATATTGTGCACAAACGTTTGCTTCAATTGACGTATAATAATAATAATAATAATAATAATAATAATAATAATAATAATAATAATAATAATAATAATAATAATAATAATAATAATAATAATAATAATAATAAAGTAAGACTCTTAAAAATAAGACCCTACCTCAACCGAGGGGTATGTTGTAATTTCTCTGCCATCAGGGGAATAATGAGTCTCACTGTAATCTTCTGAAAAAAGTCCTCTGCAAAGAAGAGAATATCTATGTCAGGAATTAAGTAGGACTGAGATAATTTTATAATAAGTTTACAACTACTGTATAGTGGAAATGTAAGCATCTTGTTTGGTATCAAAAGAATGGAGCAGGTATTTCAATCCCATGGCTATTTAAGAGGAGGGCTGTGCATACTAGATTCACCTGAGGATAGAG